AAATCCACGTTCTGTTGATTTGGTCAGGATGAGGATGCCATTAAAATCAGATTATTACATCTTCTCAGATTCACTGTATATTATTAAATATATATACAATATATTAGTGTTAACTGAAAATATAGTATAAATTATTGGTACTAGGCACTGATGAATTGATGAGTCTTGAATTGATTACTGTCAATCAAATGCTTGGGGTGTAGCATTTCATCCATAATTTTACAGAGTAGCTTTTGTACTTTATATCTTATTGTACTTTGCTTCAGTATACAACTTGTACTCATCATGAGCTTACTGATATGTAAGTTACAGATCTGTTTTTTTTATAAGGAAGAGTTGTTTATAATTCTGAAGTCACCAAACAATTTAACATTGATTTATTAATTTTAAAATTTGACTTGAAAAGGAGAATTTCCCAGTGATTCTGCAAGAGAAATCCTAAAACTACAGCTTCTGCTAATCAGCAAAAGATTAGAATGAACTGAGATCTCTAACCAGTCTTTAGTATCTTATCCTATGTGATCTAGATATTTTAACAAAAACAAGTGAAACATAATATAACATTTTCAGGCAAAGAGCATAATTTATATGAAGGATTCTCAAACTGGCAAAGCAGAAAAGACAGGAGTCGAAGTATTTCTGTCTATTTTACCACAAAAAACAACAACAAATGCTACATTTTGCCATACATTGTTGAAACGGCATCAGCCATCTTTCTCCTTTGTTTACGATTGCTTCTATGCTTTTCTTCCTTGCAGCTCCTTCTTTTGGGAAACAGTACATATTTGTTTGGGATTCTTATGTCTTGTATGTGCTATACTGTACCTACAGTATAGTGCTGCACCTGTGAGACTTCAGTAATTAAACAACAAAAGGGCTTGGCGCAGTCAAATCTCATAGGTTTTAGATGATCATTAGGCCGAGGTATCATTTCTCAAAGTGAAATCCAGTAAGAGACAAGCTGTAGTTACCTCTGCATTTAACTGTTTATGATAAAACTGTATTACATACTGTAGTTTTTGATAGTGTATAGACCACAGTACTCTTTAAATGAGGTTCATGGGTTGACAAAGTTAAAGCATGTTTGTTGTAATATTCACTAGTACACAAATACAACTATGATATTGTGAATGCTATAATACTTCAGTCACAAAGGTGTCTTTTGTAGTTATGTATATGTAGAATTGTGTTTGTGTTTCTAATTTTTAAGATGTGACTGTAGCGTTGTCTGTTGACACTTCCCTCTAATATAAGTCATTCTAAGGACAATTTGCATTTAAATAGCAGTTGAGAGCTATGCCAGTACAGATATACCTCTGAATGTGGCCAAACATTAGGAAACCCTGATGATAGGCCAAAAGCTAATGCAGACAATGTATGAGATTCTTCCCACTGAAGAGTTCAGTCATTATACTGTACAAAGGCATATGTCAACAGCTTTTAGACTTAAAAAAGCTACCTTATTCAAATGTCCTACTTGTGACCAGTATACAGTATATTGCACTGTTCAGTAATCGTATCCCAAAACTTAGTCAGATCAAAAGTTGTAAGGAAACCAGATTTAATGGGTAATCACTTTTAATTGTGTCATTTAAAGTCCAACTAGACTAGATTTTGGTTTGGGGAGCATTTCAAAATATGATGACTGCTCAGTTGAAACCCTAGGGTCAGGGTTAGCATTCCCACACTACTTAGACAATTTTTACGCTCAGCATAGGATTTTGGGGACCAAGTCAGTTTTAGGATGAGTGATTAGCTCCTATATCCAACTTTTTTTTTTTCGGAGACGTTTTCTACTTGTTTTAAAGAGTATAACATTACTTACAGACCAACTGCCATTAATAGAAGCATTGCAAACTGCTGAATCTTATTTTGATGATCATAGAGATGGATAACATGGATGGATGCATATGGATATTTGGGAGAAAAGAGAGTAACACATTATGGCATTTGGAAAAACAAGGTATTTTATGCTGGATTTAATTCTATATTCTATATTCCAAATTAGGCAAGCTGAATTACTGTTAGATAATAGAGCCTACCCTACCCACATTTACTGGTTGGAAAAGAGAGATTACAATCCAATGTCAAGTTAGAATTTGGTACTGACCAGAGTTTTGGCCGTTTTGTTCTCGTAACTTGAAGGTCACAGATTGTAAACTTTTCTGAAGAACGTATCTCAGAAGAAAAGGTGGCATTGCAATATGCAAGTGTCATATGATGACTGCTTCACAGCACGAGTGTGTTCTTTTAGCTGACTTTAATTATGTTATTATGAGGTGCTGGTGGCTCTGTGGGTGGAACTCTCACCTTCAGAGCAAGAGATCACAGCTTATACTACTATTAACGAAAATCAACTGGATGTCTTCCTGTTACAGCTCAAGCACCTTACAGGGGATTACGGTGAATGCCATATGCAGAAAATAATCTATTGACCTTTGTAGCATGAGGACAGAGTAAATTAGCTTAATGCATCATTTAATGTTTGCTCCTTGAATTGGACCTTTTTTAATATCCTTTTTTCCCTAATTTTACAGAAACACGACTTTTGAAAATCCAGTTATTAATTTAATAGAAATTTCACCTTTGTAAT